TAGTTGTTAACAAGCAATATACCATGCTGTCATCACCCTCAAATGTGGCTATATATCAGGGTTATAGGCCCCAGTAGTTCTGCAGTTGCATCTGCATGAGTGGACCTTAACATCCCTTGTGCAGAGCCTCATTGTAATCAATTAGGCTCTTCTCAGGCTCATGGGTCCACCTGTGTGGATCCAAATGGGGCTATAGTGAAGTGTTTTGAGACCCTTTGGGCTGAAATGTGCTACATAATTGCAAGAGGTTATTACTGAGAATGCAAAAGCAAATCAGTTTTTGTTAGGATTAATTTCACTAGGCTCAGTTTTAACTAATTGCTAAATCATGTTATAGAGTGAATGTCAGTTTGCTTTATGCTTAATGCTGTTTAAAAATAAATAGAACCTCTGTTTTTGGTAATCAAATAGAGATCAAACTGACTTTTTCCCCTTTTATTCTTTTTAGGTTAGTTGAAGGTTAATTGCTTTCTTAGTATATTACTCTAAATCCATGAATTTTTATAAAGCAAGCAAGTTTGTGTGTAAAGATATGCACTCATTACATGTATTGCTGACCTAGGGCTAGAATCTGTTCTATTCTAGATGTTAATGGAGAATTCTGTTATAGTACCTGCATGAATCCTGCTGCATTAGGTCAACAATATCAATTATTCTAAAAATTCTACTTAGGATCCTTTTTCTAATTGTATTTGGATTTTAATGATCAATATGACTTCAACACTCTTTACACTTATAAAATTTTCTGGTTTTATGTGTGAACTATAAATATAGAGAAGTTGTATTAATGTGGAATTGTTTGAGGAGAGCATGTGCTATAAAGTGAGTATTAAAAAACTAGCAATACTTATGACTCTTGGTGTGTAAGGTTTCTAAAAATCAAATTGGAAGATAATTATTTGGATATTCTGTATGTCGCATAACAATATTTCCCACATTGCAACTGTAGTATGATCAGATTAAACAATTCCATCTGGCTTCTTTCTGCACAAGCCCCAAATTACATTTTTTTTTCCCACTGAAAGAAGTATAATTGCTTGCAAAGAACACTGAAATCAATGGAGATTTAGGAGTATATTCTACCTGACTCTTGGAAGGGGACAGTCTATAGGCATAGGCAAGGGTTCCATAGCTCGCTGTGCCTCACATACAGGGGGTTTGGTTTAGTTTTTTAGATGGACCAGGGTAGAGTGAGTATGAGACCAATGGATTGTTTTAATAGCTGATTTGTGGGCCAGTACCCACCTCTTCATTGGAATGCATTATCTATGCGAGCTATTGCAGCTCTGAAGTTGTAGGAGTTGGTGCAGAGCAGCTCTAGCACTACTTCCGGCATAACTACGGTGTGTACGGTGTGGACTTTTCACACTCCTGAGTGACGTAATTATACTGATATAGGTCTGCAGTGCGGACCAGATCCAAGTATATCTAGTGGAAGTTTTCCAGTTCCAGGAACAGTATTTTAATCTGTTTTTATTGATAGTTAGCCTGAACTCCTTCAGTGTACTTTGTCCTGTATTCACCGGGGTGAGGGAGAAAGATATTAATATCTACTTCTGTATTTCTTAGCTCTTAAAGAGATATATTGCAATAAACTTCCCAGGTTCTTTGTGTATTAAGTATTTAACCCCACTATACAGAACATAAGAGCTGAATGGTACATTTGAACACTCACTGAAATTTGAAAAGATAAGTCTCTTAATGACATCTTCTTTTGTATGTAGGCTGAATTCTGTATGTTCAAGACTATTCTAACGGCATTCATGTAGGCTTAAGATTCATCTGTCTAGTCAGTGTCTTGCAATATTTTGTTTTCCCTACTGTTAATGTAGGTGTTCTCTTATCTTTCTTTAAAAAGCATACTGACTGATTTAAGATATTGAAATATAAATACAGTATTTATAGCCGCTCTGGGTTTGATAGGGCATAGAACCCAACTTCAGCAAAATAAAATCTTAGAGCCTTTATAAAAAAAAAAGGCTTATTTTTAGCTATTTTCTTCATTATCTGTCAATCCAATCAGAAAAAGTTGCTTATGTAATGCTTCCCATGGTTAATTTTTGAGGTATTTAGAGCAACTCTGTATTGGTAAAATCCTATGACTACAGCTACTTATGGTATGTCTACACTACATTGGCTAGGGCACTGCTGTACTGCTGTAGCACCATAGTGTAGACACTTCCTATATTGACAGAAGGGTTTTTTCCATTGGTGTATTTAATCCACCTCTCTGAGAGAGGATAGCTAGATCAACAGAAGAATTCTTCCATCTACCGATCTTCAACTACAGTGGGGGCTAGGTCAACCTAACTATGCTGCACAGGACACAAAATTACATTCCCTGAGCAGTATAGCTATGTCAAATCTAATTTTTCATTGTAGGCCAGTCTTTAGATCTAGATCTCAAAGGCCCTGCTCCTGCTGCTGGGATTACTAAACTGTGGGTATGACATCTCTACAATTGATTTTCTGGAATCTCTGCTTTACCTTCTAGACCAGTGGTTTTCAAGCTTTTTTTCTGGCAACCCAGTTGAAGAAAATGGCCTGCAATCCATCGGAGCTGGGGGCTGAGGGGCTTGGGAGGGGCTCAGGGCTGGGACAGAGGGTTGGGGTGCAGGAGCGAGGGCTGCGGAGTGGGGATGGGAATGAGGGGGTTCAGGGTGTGGGAGGGAGTTTTGGATTGGGGCAGGGGGTTGGGGTGCAGGAAGGGGTCAGGGCTCTGGGCTGGGGGTGCAGGCTCTGGGCTGGGGCCAGGGATAAGGGGTTTAGGGTTCAGGAGGGGGCTTTGGGCTTGGGGAGACTCAGGGCTGGGGCAGGGCTCTGGGCTGGGGGTGCAGGGTTAGGGACAAGGGGTTTGGGGTGCAGGAAGGGGCTCCAGGTTTGGAGGGCTCAGGACTGGGGTAGGAGATTGGGGTGTGGGGTTGGAATGCAGCAGAGGGTCAGGGATCTGGGCTGGGGTGAAGGCTTTGGGGTGGGGCCAGGGATGTGGGGTTTGGGTTGCAGGAAGGGCCTCCAGGTTTGGAGGGGGGTCAGGGATCTGGGCTGGGGGTGAAGGCTTTGGGGTGGGGCCAGGGATGAGGGGTTGGGGTACAGGAAGGGGCTCTGGGTTTGGGGGGGCTCAGAGCTGGGGCAGGGGATTGGGGCACAGGGGCAGGGGATTGGGGCACAGGGTTACCTCAGGCTGCTCCCGGTCAGTGGCTCAGTGTGGGTGCTAAGGCAGGCTTCCTGCCTGTCCTCGCACCGCGGACTGCACTGTGCCTCGGAAGTGGCCAGCAGCAGGTCCAGCTCCTATGTGGTTCTCGCCCGCAGGCACCGCCCAAACCGACCAATGGGAGCGTGGAGTTGGTGCTCGGGGCAGGGGCTGTGCACGGAGCCCAGTGGCCCCCCTGCCTAGGAGCCGGATCTGCTGCTGGACGCTTCCGGGGCACAGCGCGGTGTCAGAACAGTAGGGACTAGCCTGCCTTAGCCGGGCAGCATCACAAATGGGACTTTTAACCGCCCCGTTGGCGGTGCTGACCAGAGCCACCGCAACCCAGTGTCTTACATTCCGTGACCCAGTACTGGGTCATGACTCGCAGTTTGAAAACCACTGTTCTGTAGCATAATAGTTCAGTTTCAGTGATCCCTTTCACAAGTTTGTTTAAATTTATTAAACCTTGGTCACTGACATCAGTTCCTCTTTTCTTCAGTTAAACTTTTGTAAGAAAGCACTGAAACTGTTAT